CTGTGACCGCGCCCCCGGGGACACTCGGCCTCGCTGACGCCCCGCGCCCCTCCCGGGAGCCGAGGGGCCCACGCGGGACGCGGCCCGCCTTGCCGACCCCGCGGCCTACCTCCCGCGGGGGAGGACGGCCGCCGACCTCTTCCTGCCGCACGCCGGGGCCTGCGAGTCTGCCTTCTGCACCTGCGGGCCTCTTCCACGCCCACAGGTGTCCTCGGGGCTCGTGAGGGGGGGGTAGGATGAGCGGGGGTGAAGGTGCCTCTCAGCTCCCACTCCTAAGGTTCGCGTAGGTCCCGGAGACCCTCCGCGGGGCGCGGGCCCCCCTCTGTGGGTGTCTCTCTGCGAGTGCGCGACGCCAGGTGCCCTGGTCCGAGCAGTGGGTGACAGCCACGTGTGGGTGCGGTGAGAACCAGGAGGGTGGCCGTCTGGTGCAGAGCTGGACACGGTGCTGCACTTAGGATTTTGTTTCTGCTGAGTAGAAACATGTCCCGGGGACTGGAAGGTCTGGGGACTCAAGTGAACCGAACTTCCCAACGGGAAGGGGGAGGGTAGTGACCACCAGGAAGGTCCGCCTGGAGAGTGGGCGCTGTGACCGGCACAGTGCTCTGTGGTCACAACACTGACTCGTGGGGGCTTTCGAGCCCACGTACACACTTACACACGCACACTCACACATGCTTACCCTCACACACACGCACTCAGCTCTCTCACATACTCGTGCTCTCATGCACACTTACACACCTCACACTCGTGCTCCTACAGGCACACATGCTCACACATGCTCACACTTCACACTGGTTCACATGTATGCGCTTGCCGGCAGTGCTCTCTCCACTCACAGACCTCACGCGCGCTGGCACACACAAGGCTTTCTGAAGCACAGCTGCGGGAATTGTTTTCAGCGTCTGGGGTAAGGTGTGAGCTGGAGCGAGGCTCAGCTTCTGGGAGATGCATCCTCTGTACTTGAAGTGCTGCTCACAAATGTCTTTTGTGCTACAGAAAGGAAGGGTAGCCAGAGGGAGGGGGCAAAGTGCAGAGAGCTGGACCCAGACGCAGGACAAGATGTGCCGGGCCAGAGAGCCACTTGTTTAGGGAGAAAAGTGGGGAGTGCAGAGCAGATGTGTGTTTTCAGTATTTTTAATCGCTGTGTGAAAATCAGTGACGTGGTGGCTTTGTACATTTGTATATAGTGATTTGAGAAAAGGAAATTTCTATTATTTGAACAAAGGGTGAGACTCTTCTGCCTTTCAGGGGTCATGCTCTTCCCCACTAACTCCAGGCTGATTTTTCTAGATTTTTTTTTTCCCATGCATCTATTTCACTCGAAGGTTGAGGAGGGGGGAAATATAATCAGATAAAGCTCGTTATAGAACAGTGTAATGTATTACCTCAATTTTGGACTTACTTTGTAAAAGTTAACTAGTTTAATGTTTATCTCATTAGACTTTAATGTGTCAAGTCTTGATTATATTTACATTGAAGCTTTACATTTTAAAAAACCAGTTTGTATTTTTCTTGTGGAGATCTTTGCTCTAATCTCGCTGTCTCGGGCCAGGCACAAATCTAGGTAGACACGGAGCATCTAATTTTGTGGGAGCTGGATCAGCCGCCAGATGAGATGCAAAACCAAATACCCCGCCCATTGAATAGCTTGCCTCCTGTTTGAATGCACAGAGCTAGACTGTCTTTTATTTTAAATGAGTGTATTACTACCAGAGAGGCAAAGTCAGCAATCGTTCGGAGGTGAAATTAAGACACGTGTCTCATGAATGCTCTGGGCACCCCCGGTGGCGTCTGCAGAGCTGGGTCCTGGGGGAGAAATGAAAGCTCGTTCTGGACGTCAACCAGCAGGTTGAGAGTGAACTGTGAATTCAAGGTGGGCAGAGTCGTAACTTGGTCTCATTTGCACTTAGTGCAAATACCGGTGATTAAGAGGCCTAGGGTCCTGCCCATCGTGACAATAACAGCATTTTAAAGACTTTCCTAAAGGAATCGACGTTTGCAGAGTGTCTTTCTGCGTCTGCCCGTGTGTGTCTGGGTCCTGCTGCTGGTCATGCGTGGTCTCTGTGCCTCTGTGTTATCCTTTGTCTGTTTCCCTCTCCTCACCCTCCCCCCTTCTTTGGGCTCCTAGCCCCATCTCGCTCTTAACTGGCAGCAGTAAGACACCACGCGCATTTTTCTCCCTTGCGACGTCGGGTAGAGTTGTGTGCCTTGTTCGTCTCTTTAAAAGCAGATGTGTGGAACGTTTATACTACGCTGGTTGACGATCCTCAGTAAAACGCGAGAAAGGTTCTACACATGACACGTGACATCTGTTCATGTTGTAACTGATGTTTTGAGGATGTTTTCTGAGTCACTGCGCTGCAGCTTCTTAATGCTTAAATAAAAGAGAAATTTGATGACTGTATTTCTTTTTAGGAGGATATTAAACACTGGTCAGGAAGAGATCACCGAGGTATTTAGAGATCTTCTGAGGGAATTCCCTGGCGGTCCAGTGGTTAGGATTCGGTGCTTTCACTGCCAAGGGTGAAGGTTCGATCCCTGGTCAGGGAACTAAGATCCCACAAGCTGAGCAGCGAGACCAAATAAATAAATAAATAAAGTTCATCTGAGATGGTCTCTCCATGGTGCTGCCCCACCTGGGGCTCTAGAATTTCCAGGGGTTGGCAAAGGGTCATTGGCCTTAATTACTGCCAGCGGTGACCAGGATTTTAATAATTCTAATGCTAGTCAAAGAGTATTGAAATAAGGTTGGCAACGGTACTCAACCTCCTGTCGTGGCACAGACCCCCCCATGAAAGCTATATTCAAATATACTCCTAAGGATATGCTGCAGAGCGTCTTGCTGGAAAGCAGATGTGTCTTTTCCGGAAATAGCAGATGCCAGAAATCAGAAACTTCAGTTTTGTGGTTTCACGAGAAATGATACAGTTCTGTGGAAGGTGGTGACCTGTGGGATCTGGTTCTATTAAACTGACTCTGAAATTGTAATTTTGTACCTTTGATGTTAGCATGGAAATTTCTGCCAACTGTGAAATGAGCAGTAAAAACACTTGCGTGTTACAGACCTGCACACAAACGCCTTGTCACCAGTGAGGGGCCCAGAGCGGCCTGTGCCCGTGGCCTGGCATATGGTGGCCCTGCGCTCAGCTTAGAGGCTGAGCACCTCCCCAGTGTGGTCCAGGAGAATGTTCACTTGGAGGTCAAAGGTGGCCTTTGTAGCCTTCCGGCCTGCTGTTCTTTGTCAGCCACCTCTCATTAAATTTCTGCATCTCCGTCTCTTAAGTGTTACGGGGATAAGAGGACACGGTGGATCCTGGTAAGGATTATGCTGAGGTGTGTGCGTGAAGCATTTGGGACCACACGGTGCATCCCCAGCTCAAGGTCAGCTGTAATGACTACTTCAGAGAATCTTTACTCTCCAAAAACACGATTCTCTGGCACTTATGTGTGCAAAATCAAAACCCTCTCTGGCTAGAGTATTCTGAGATTTTTCTCTCTAACCATTGAATGCACATGTGTGGTGAGGGCTAAAGATTTATTTCCCTCAGGAGTTTAAGATAAAAACCTGTCTTGTGGCTCACCTCCTTATTTCAGACTTATTTCAAGCCGAACACAAAATTTAGCTCTGAGCTTCCTGGTAGCAAAGGCAAAATTTAAAGTAGTGAGCTGTTAATTTCCATATCTAATAACAAGACACACTAACACATTACAAGTATTTCTGTGTTATGTATATATTTGTATTACATACATTATGGTGGGACCGGACCCTTAAATGCAGTTTCCAGAAGATGCGTAAATGTTATTCATATTACTCTTAGTTCTTAATGAAAAGCCAATGGGATAATTCAGTTGCATCCTCTCTCATGTTGGGCCGTCCCACGTGATGGAGGTGGGTTACTCTTAGTTCTTAATGAAAAGCCAATGGGATAATTCAGTTGCATCCTCTCTCATGTTGGGCCGTCCCACGTGATGGAGGTGGGTTACTCTTAGTTCTTAATGAAAAGCCAATGGGATAATTCAGTTGCATCCTCTCTCATGTTGGGCCGTCCCACATGATGGAGGTGGGTTATATGGAAACCTGCAAAAAAAAAATAATAGTCTTTAGGAAGTAGGTTTAGATCTGCTTAACTGTTTAGCAACAACTAGCATAAAACACCAGAAAATTGTCTGCAAACCAGTTCCCAAGCTTTTTGGTCTCAAGACCAAAACTTTTAAACATATTATGCTTAAAAGTTATTGAAGGAGGCCAAAGAGCTTAAATCTATGTAGATTATATTTCTATAATACTTCTTTTATTAGAAATACAAGCCAAGACTCTAGAAGAATCTGGGGACCCTCAGAAGCCACTGGAGCCCGCTTTGAGAACCACTTGTTTCCACCATGTGTATCATCAGTTCCTGCTGCCTGTCATCTCTGCTGGGGGTGGAGGCCTACGTCTGAAATCTGAAGATACAGACTATCCAGACCCCATCTAGACGTCCTAATTCAGCAGACCTCAGGCGGGCCCGGCTCAGACAGCAGGACCAGCTTCGGGGCAGCTCGGGGCCCAGCAGCCTCAGACGGCAGCTCTCGGGGGCTTTTGCTCCAGCAGAAGGGGACCTGGCAGCCGCGTGGCCTGCAGGGACCACCGTGGGCGACTCAGGCCGACTGCGTGGTGCCACCACTGCCGCAGCCCTTCTGCGTTCTGAAACCCACGTGCGGTGTTAGATTCCCTCTGCCTGAAATGGCCGCAGCGCGCTCTACCTGGTGGAGACGCGCGGGAGAAGACAGAGCCGGGGCTTGCGGCCTCTGCGGGATTCCCGGGGGGGCCTTCCCATGTGCCCCAGATGGAGCCTCCGCAAGTAGGAGGCTCGGGATGCAGCGCCGGCTGCGAGGACACAGCAGCCTTCTCTCCATCTGCAGATGTAGAAAATGAGTCCTAGAGGGGAAAGCAACACACACCAGCACCTGTACCACCACCCAGTCGTAGAGCTGACCTTATACCCAGGTCTCTGGATTCAACTTCTTAACCTTCACACAGAGGGTCTAGTGAATGTGGAGGGCACGTGGGCGAGAGTGGGGAGGACCCTCACACGGTGCCCCTTCCAGGAACCTCCCTCGGTGGGTTTTAGGAATCTTGAATTTTCCGTGGAGCATAGATTTAAAACCTTTTATAGACAAAGATCACACCAGAAATCAACAAAGTAGGACACTTACAATAGAGAAAACTTACAAAGCCCTAAGTTGGTTCTTTTTAAAGATTAGTTAAAATGAGGGACTTCCCTGGCAGTCCAGTGGTTTATTCTCCGAGCTTCCACAACGGTGGGCGCGGGTTTGAACCCTGGTCCGGGAACTAAGATCCTGCATGCTGTGCAGCGTGACCACAAAAAAAAAAAAAAAAAAGCATCTAGTGTGACTGATCAAGAGAAAAAAAAAGCACAAATTGCCAAGATCACAAGTAAGAGGAGGGATTTAACTGCAATCCCACAGATTTTAAAAGGGCAGTTAAACCGGGAGACAGAAGGAGGCCTGCCTTCCCACCCACTGCCAAGAGTGCTGGTCAGAGCAGGCGCTAGCCAACGGGTTTTCTTAGTGTTTATTAGCGTTCGGTGTTTATTTTAGAAAAAGTTCCTTTCCAAGGTCAATATCTAGTTTGCCAAACAGTAAAAGCAGCTGATATTTGCATGTCTGAGGCATAAATGTTTATTTTGCATTGTGATTCACTTGGATGCAAGGAGGATTTTGCTTGTTTCCTTAAGCAAAAGATTAAACAGAAAGCCTCCAACATACAGTCACAATTACCTGGAAAAAATAACTTCCCTTTTGCAAGGAGAGCCTGGTTTGCGGGCCACGTCACTCACGGTGCAGGGCCTCTCCTGTGCTCCGGGCATCCCCGCTCTCTTCCCCGGGGCTGCTCGGGCTCACCCTTCCCCCACAGCAGGCTGTGCTCTGTCGAGCCACGGGGTTTAGTCTCTGCCCTGGTCCCTGACGCTGTGGATCTGCCTGCCTGCAGCCCTGTTTTGCCTTTTTATTGCATCAGTGACAACACTAGCCTTCATTTCAGAGCTCTTACATTCATCATCAGTTTGGATGAAACTCTTTGGCCAATTTTATAGACAAAAGGGGCACCTGTGATGTGTCCCAAGAACTCAGGTATGAGTGGCAACAACCAAACTGTGGCCGGTGCTCCCCGGGTGCTGGGGCAGCAGAGGGGGGTGTGCCCGCCCCACCCCCCGGCTGCTGTGTCCCACGCCCACAGGGAAGCGTCCAGGGAAGTCTGCCCAGGATGCCTCCTGACCTGGACTCTGTAGTTTCACGAGTTAGTTTCACTCTGTACTTTCACGCGTCGGGGGGGCCGCACCCTCCAGTTATGATGCTTGTGAGGTGTTACAGACAGTCACCTGAGACCCACAGGTGTGTCACACAGCGGAGGGGTTGGGATGGGGTGATGTGGTCTCCAGGCCAAAAACATGAAAACCTTATCCCAGGGACTTACTGAAAAGGCGCTCTTAGAAGAAACCAACTTTCTGGGTGAAAGAGAAAGCAGACCCTGAGGGAGACTCAGTGACCCTGAGGGTGTCTGTGTCCAGGTGTCACACGGTGATGCCGGTGGGCTGGCAGCACCGAGCCCAGTGCCTGGCCCATCCCTGGTCCCCACATTCTCAGTGACCTCTTTGGTCACTGCCTTCCCGGTTTCCCCCTCTGGACCAGGGCTATGGGAGCTCCGGCCGGGGGACCGGGCCTGGCACGCGGTGACGTGGTGCTCGCCGTCATTGGGCACAGACCCCTGAACATGACCCCGCTGACTGCAGCACCGCACCAGCAGAGAAGGCCCAGCCAGAGAGTTCTGGAACAATGTCTTAGTGGTGGGGACAGGCCTTCCAACAAAGGGCTCACTCATGACCAAGCACAGCCAGTACCCACTGCTGTGCTGTCCCGGCGCCTGCAGAGAAACACCACGGGTGATGGAAGGGCCAACGACAGACAATCAGATGATTTCATCCTTGTTATAAAGCACAGCTGTCCCGGGCAGACTGGCCGGTGGGCGCCCACCGCCCCACGGTTGAAGCCACGTTAAGGAGATTGTCTCACCCGCGTTCCTCACTTTCCGTCCCCACAGAAGGCGTGTCTGAAAGTCAAGGGCACCTTTTCAAGGATGCCTGTCTGTTCTCAGAGCCTAGC